TCCAGAAGTTGTCACACCCTGTTCACATCTCTAACATAGTTTCCATGAATTCACACTTTTCTGCTTCCTACATGTGACAACTAATCATTTTTATTTTGCCAGGGCTATATATTAATCTGCTTGGTTCTCAGCACTTTCTATTTTCATATGCACATAAATCCTTACATATTATAGCCTATGTAAACTTTTCAAGTTCAGACATTTTTTGAAATAACAAATAAGAAATAAGTAGATTTTTCCAGCCCTCAACAACAGTGATCTTAAGCAGGCAAAACACGTGGAAATTATTATTATTTTTTTGACAGGCAGAGTGGACAGTGAGAGAGAGAGACAGAGAGAAAGGTCTTCCTTTGCCGTTGGTTCACCCTCCAATGGCCGCTGCGGCCGGCACACCGCGCCTATCTGAAGGCAGGAGCCAGCTACTTCTCCTGGTCTTCCATGGGGTGCAGGGCCCAAGCACTTGGGCCATCCTCCACTGCACTGCCTGGCCACAGCAGAGAGCTGGCCTGGAAGAGGGGCAACCGGGACAAAATCCAGCGCCCCGACAGGGACTAGAACCTGGTGTGCCGGCGCCACAAGGCGGAGGACTAGCCTACTGAGCCGCAGCGCCAGCTCTCGTGGAAATTATTTTGCTCTTTGAAGAATACCTTATTGTTTGCAAGTCATTTTGTCACAACCATATATTCTTGTTCCTCACAGAAATAAAAAACAATTTACCCATGAGAAGATATATTGTGTTTATGCAAGATAATGTGACAATTCTCAGAGTAAAACATATATTACAATATAGGTTGTCAAACTAAGTATAAGTTTTCTAATAATATCAACATATCCATTTCCTCATCACCACTTGGCTTGAAAACAGTTGTATCAAGTACTAGAGATTTTTAGATACACACAGAAGTAGTCTTCAACAAGAAATCTGCATTGAATAACTTAACTATGTACATTCTGAGAGAATATCAATACTCCAATTTGTTAAGCAATACAGTACCTCAGCCATCTTTTATGGAAGTACAGTGACCCTCCAAATCTATCTGCAAGTTCTTCATTGGCAGATTCAACCAACTGTGCATGGAAAATAGTTGGGAAAAAAATCATATCTGTACAGGCTTATCCCATAAAAAATACAGTATAACAACTATTTATTTTTGAACATTTTATTTCAGGATATCCAATTTACAAACCAAAATTTTGAGGCAGTTAATAAAGAGTTCTCCTTTGCCCCTCAACCTACTTCTCCAATTATTAAACTCTATTAGTATACTTGTCACAATCAATGTGCTGATTTACACAGTATTTACATGATATTTAGGTATTATAAGTAATCTAGAGGTGTTTTAAAGTATACAGGAGGAAGTGCTTAATTATATGTAAATACCGTATCATTTTATATAAGAAAAAATACAATCCATGGATTTTGGTGTCTTCACGGGTTCCTGGGACCAATTCCCTGAGGATACCAATGAACATGTGGTTCACGTCCCCACTACCAAAACTCCTGTCTCAGAATTTCTGGAATATTGACTTTAACTTTTCTTTTTTAAAAAAATAAATTGCTTCTTCTGATTCTGATTCAAGTGGTTGGGAATTGCAGTTCCAGAAAGAGACCTTAGCTTGCTCTAACCATTTAGAAACATTAGTTCAACTCTTGAGATTTCACTCAGTCTCTGCATGTCCTAGTTACTGGCAAATGTTGCTGCAGTTGAGAAGTCAGAGGAAATAAATGACCACACTGTTCTTATCTGAGCCTTTCAGAGAAGAATGATGTCATTAATCATAATGAAGAACACAATGGTAAAATCAGATTTTGGAAGAAAGAGAATGTAGGTGTCCTCCCTCCTTCCTTTTTTATTGAGTTGAATGCTGGACTTTCCTGCATGTGGGAGACAGCGGCACTAAATACCAACTGTCCTCCACATACGGTTTGGAATAAGGTTTGGAGTAAGGAAAATGAAGAATAAGAAATGGCACTTTACTACCAGTAAATGGCAGTTGGAAGCTGGCACTAGGGGTGTTTCACAAATGGGCTTCTCACCCTGGAATCTAACATTAAGATTCCTGGTCCCTGCAATTCTACCAGGCAGACGCAACTGCATCTTGTACCTTCTAATGTAACAGACTTCAGAACTCAAACTGAGTTTGGTTAATTTTATCCTCACTTGAGACTAAATTTTTTGTGAAGGCAGAGACCACGTCCCATCAGTTCACCAACTGATGCAGAGCTAAGCAAAGAGCGGGGAATCTAAACAATTTGTTGAATACACAGGTGTTTAAAAACAACAAACAGGCCGGCGCTGTGGCTCACTAGGCTAATCCTCCTCCTTGCGGTGCTGGCACACAGGGTTCTAGTCCTGGTCGGGGCGCCGGATTCTGTCCCAGTTGCTCCTCTTCCAGGCCAGCTCTCTGCTGTGGCCAGGGAGTGCAGTGGAGGATGGCCCAAATACTTGGGCCCTGCACCCCATGGGAGACCAGGATAAGTACCTGGCTCCTGCCATCGGATCAGTGCGGTGCGCCAGCCACAGTGCGGGCCACGGCGGCCATTGTAGGGTGAACCAACGGCAAAGGAAAACCTTTCTCTCTGTCTCTCTCTCTCACTGTCCACTCTGCCTGTCAAACAACAACAACAACAACAACAACAAACATTAACTCTGTCCCTACCCAGATGTTTGTTTGTCAGTACCTGCTCAAGTCGGGGTTACTGTGGATGCCAGCATTAAACCTCAGAGAAGGCTTTATTCCAGACCACTGCAATAGGGGAGAGGGGCCAGAACTCAGTGGGGCAACTCGTTGTAAACGAAGACCTGGAGAGCTTTTAGGAGCTGAGATGGCAGGATCATACGCCACCTGTGCTCGCTAAGTGACTCTACCCAAAGGAAAAGTAAAGCTTCTCCTATTTTCTTCACAGGAGAGTGAAGTAGGCAGGCATACAGGTTAAAATTGGTCAGATTTGTGAACTGGAAGACCACGCCCCTGTGTGGCCTTATCCCCCTACCTGGCCACACAGGGGTGCCCACCAGCCAATCAGGTTAATTAAGCACTCCCCTTTGGAGTGGGTTAAAAGGCTAGGGCACAGTGTGCTCTGCCCCAGCTCTTCTTCCCTGGCCTCTTGCCAGGACAGGGCTTGCTGTAGCCCTGCCCCTCCAGGGTGCAAGGCCTTTGGGCCATGTGCTCTAGGCTTCCTGGCCTAGACGCTCATCCACATGGCTGGTTCCTGGTGCTTGGTATGAACCCCTATTCACCTCTCTCCCCTAAATAAAGCTCTCACTCTCTTATGCACCTTTCTTACTAAATAAAAGCTTAAAACGTACCATGCTGCCTCGTTTATCTGTGCCGGTATTTAGAATTCTTCTCTAAATATTAGGCAAGAACCCTCTCGGGCTTATTAATAGCGGGGATTTAGTAATAAGCCCGTAGTGAAATTGTAAGGCACCCCAAATTCCAGTAGCGCATGTGGCACCCCGGATAGCATTTCTAGGGAACTTTAAGGGGCCACATTTCAGGGTAAATTTTAGGGGACCTTTTCCGATTTCAAGAGGATTTTTACAACCTGAAGCCAGCACCTGGGAGAAAGTAGATTCCCATCTCCCCGTCCCCTAAACACACCCAGACACTAGGAGATAGGGACACTGTCTGCCTGCTGGAATACATTGCAGAGAGAGGAGCCTCAGGTTCTTGGCTGTGATAAGAAACTTAAATTTTCGACAGGAAGTGCTCTGAGGAAAGTGGGCCAGGGCCTGGAGGCAGAAACAAGGCCTGTTGAAAGTTTGCAACTAAGCTGACTGTGCGGAACTTCTTAAGCATCTTGCTTACTTAATCTGTTTCTGCAGATCTGCACCAAAGAATTCAAATAATAAGCTTCCTATTTCTCAGCTTCCGCATGCAGAGCTGCTGCAAACGCCACACAATCCTGTCTGTCCGCTTTCTTTGTTACCCACCTTAAACCACTCCTTTTCCTATTCAGCCCGACAGTCAAAGCACCAAAACCAACCTCAAAGTCTGAACCTTCCTGCTTCCACCAGGACGCGTGCGCAGTCGGCCCCGCGCCTCTGACGTCACTGAGCGCGCCCCGCCCTGACAGGATAGCAACCGACAGCGTCTCTAGCAGCAGCGGCCTCTGAGATGCACGAACTTCCGGTTCTCCCAGCAGCTGCCGGCGCCGCCGCCTGTGCCACCTGTCAAGGCCCGGCCTGCCTCGGTCTCCTTCGCGCCCATGGTGCCTCCTGCAGCCCGGGCGGCGGGCCCGGCGGCTCCCGCGTGGTGAGAGGGCGGTCCAGGGACGATGAAGGCCCCGCACTGCTGCTGCTGCGGTCTCGGGCGCCTCCTGGCCCCTGTCCTGGTCCTGCTGCTGCTGCTGCCCGCGCTGAGCGGGCCCCTGGCGGTGCTGCTGCAGGCCGCCGAGGCCGCGCCGGGCCCCAGGCCTCCGGAGCCGCAGCCACGCACGCCGCCGCCGGGCCCCACCCCAGCTCGGCCTGAGGTCGCCGGGCCGCGGGGCCCCGAAGGCGGCAATGGCAGCAGCCCCGGGGCGGGGCTTGTGGCCGACGAGGTCGCGGGGAAGGCCGGGGAAGGCTCCGTGGGAGGCGGCCTCGCCGTGAGCCCCAACCCTGGCGACAAGCCCATGACCCAGCGAGCCCTGACCGTGTTGATGGTGGTGAGCGGCGCGGTGCTGGTGTACTTCGTAGTCAGGACGGTCAGGTGAGGCGAAGCCTCGGTGGGTTCCCCCGGGCTGCCCTAAGGCAGAGTCCCGAGACCAGCGTTGCTGCCTTCCTGCCCCCTGCACTCGGGGCTGCGGCCGAGAATGTGAGGTGGACGCGCATTTCCTTGGGGGAAGTTTGATTCTCCAAGTAGTGGCCGCAGCTTCTCCGCGCCCCACGTCTCATCCTCTTGCCCGAGGCCCGCGCCAGTGCCTGCGGTGGAAGTGGGTCCCTTGCGTTTCGGCCACTCGCCCTGGTGATGCTGCAACCCCCCTCCCCACCCTGTTCGTGTCCCTGGGTACCTACCTGGCCGAAATTTTGCCTACAGACTCCTCAGACAGGGTTACTGTTTCGTGGTTGGTTCAAGACGTCTTTGCACGGTGTCGCCACTCAGTACAAAGTTTCTCTTTGGGATAATCATGCAGAAAGGCCTCCTGGCTATGTTATTTGTATAAAACTTAGAAGAGCAGTCCTCCCTTACCATCGTTGTTTCTTAGTGTTGGCCGTTAACCTGCCCTTGAAGTGATTGGGTGGTTAGCTATGCAGCTGGGCTCCGTGGAAGCCTTGGCACACAGAACCAAGGCCTCCCCGTGAACCAGAGCCGCTCAGGAGGGGAGCTGAGGACCAGCTGCTGTAAGCGCAGAGGGCACGTTGTAAGGATTGCAATGGTTTGTTGTTTTCCAAAGCGATTCACCTTTCGCCCCATAATTACCTACCTAGTCTCTGATGCCTTTTTTAAACATGTAGTTAAAATCAATTATTTAAACAGTGCTTCCAGTTAAGCAAGTCATTCTTAGGAATGGGAAAGGGACAGCATTTGATTTTTAAACTGCTGATGAAGAAGTGCAGTGTAAACTAGTGGTCTCTGGCACGTGGTCCATCCAGGGAACCTCTGGGTGCTGGGTTCCAGAGGCGTTTATGACATCAAGAGTGTCAAGTTGTTTTCAAAATAAATCGTTCTCTTACGACTTTATAAGATATAAAAAGGTCATTGATACCTGTTTAGAGTCACATTGCCAGTTAAGAGACTTCTTGTTCAGTTTTGGTGTAGTATACAAGAATAATGTCGAGTATCTGAAAAGGCCATTAACATGCTTTTCCCTTTCTCCAAGTTCCTATCTGTATGGAGCTGGGCTTTCTTCACATCTTTCAACCAAACACATTGCAAATTATTTAATACAGAAGTAAATGTGGAAATTACTTTTTTTCTGTTCCTATTGTATTTCTGTCAGTTTAAGTAGATATTGAACAGATTTATGCCATTTTCATATTATATTACCCTGTATTCAATATTATTTTAGATCAACAAGCATTTAGGTGTTTTCTCTCATATAAATAACATGTTGAATATATATAAAATTCACACAAATAAAAGTTCCTTAGACATCCTGAATAATTTTCGAGAATGTAAAGGAATTCAAAATGCTAGAACTGCTGTCGTGAACAGTATTACTTGAGCAAGATACTATTGGTTCATAAAGACCAACAAATGTAGGCCCACTCACTTTTAATGGGGAAATTGGAAAAAAATGTTTTGGAGCTGTTATAGGCATAGAGCAACTGAGTGTTATATTTGTTACACATATGAGTAAGACGATAATTTGGGGAGACTATGCCCCTCAATTGTTTTTGTTTCTAACTCTTTTTAAATATTTATTTATTTATTTGAAAGGAAGAGTGACAGGGAGAGGCAGAGAAAGAGAGAGAGAGAGATCTTCTGTCTGTTGATTCACTGCCCAAATTCTGGCAACAGCCAAGATTGGCCCAGACCAAAACCAGGAGCCGGGTACTCTATCCAGATCTTCCATGTGGGTGGTAAGAACCCAAATACATGGGCCATCTTCCCCTGCTATCCCAAGTACATTAGAAAGGAGCTAGATCAGAAGTTGAGCAGCAGGGACTCAAATCACCACTCAGAGATGGGATGCTAGTGTATCAAGTGGCAGCCTAACCTGCTGCACCACAATGCATCCCCTGCCTCTGCCTTGTTTATAATATTATATACAAATGTTTGTTGTTGATTTTGTTATTCACTGTTGTGAAACTTGGAAGGACGTAATCTTTTTAATCAGATTCTATTGGGTGACTCTGTAATATGGCATATGAGAACAACCAAATTCTGAACTATGGCTAGTAAAAGCTATTCTTTAACCAGTATCTCACACATCCATGCCATCCAAGTCCTAAATTTAGTTGGCTACCGAACTTCCAAAGCTTGATTGATGCTAACAATGCCTGGGTGATGTTCAGAACTCATAATTTCCCTTCCAGATTATGGTTTTCATTCTCATTTTGGTAAATGCTCGCTTTGGCCCCCACTTCGGAAGTATGTATGACAGCACATCAGCATTAGTTATTTGTGCCAAGGGGACAGAATGAGCCCAAATCATCATTTCCTTAATCAGTGTGAGGTGATACATAGAATATTTTGCTTGTGAAATTTTATCATATTGATATCCAAGAGACATCTAAATTGTTTTGTTTTAATGTAATTCAATCATAATGAATATGCACGAGGAATAACTCCCACTTAGGGTCTAGACTAGAAATAGTCCTAAGAACAGTCAGATTCTCTTTGTGGGCACTGAAAAGTACATGCCTGGAACACAGTGGAGTCAGAGGAGGCTTCCTAAGATAACACTTCATATCTTTCAGAAGAGGCCCATTGTCTATCTTCATACTGTATTCCCAGCACTGAACATTATGTACAACTTATTATGGGCACTGAATAAACGATTTCCTAATGAATGAGCCTTCTTAGATAATTATTCATATGGTTGCATAGTTAGGGGGTGACTGGAAATTTAAGAATTGCAACTTACTGATAGAACAAAGAAGTGTGAAGATCTCAATTCTCAGATTTGATTTATTTCCTTCCTCTCTAGTACACTCTTTCTATAGTATAAGGCTAGAAAAATAGAAATCACTCTAGAGGTTTGTTATTTTTTTAGCATGCACATTATATTATCAGTTTGAGGCATAATTTTGTGAATAATGGACCTTGATTTAAAAATTTTTTTAGCAGTATGATTATTTATTTATTTGAGAAACAGTGTTAGAGAGAGAGGGACAGAGAGTGAGGTCTTCCATCCACTCATTCACTCCCTAAATGGCCACCACAGCTAGAGCTGTGCCGATCCGAAGCCAGGAGCCAGGAGCCAGTTTCCCGTGTGGGTGCAGGGCCCAAAGCACTTGGCCCATCTTTGACTGCTTTCCCAGGTCATCAGCAGAGAGCTAGATCAGAAGAGAAGCATCTGGGACACAAACCAGCACCCGTATAGGACGCGTCACAGGCAGAGGCTTAACCTACTGTGCCACAGTGTGGGCCCCAAAAGCAGGGTATTCTTTGTTGTGCATGTCATTGCTGCTTTTTTGTTTTTTATTGTGTTCTATATTAAGAGACCAAGGCTTAAATCAGAATCCATTCACTTTTTTAGCTTTACAAATCTTTGTAAGCTTTAACCTGTCCAGTTTTGGAATCCCTCCTGTAGAATGGGGATGAAAAGGTATTTGATATGGTTGAGATAAGCATGACATTTGGGACACAGGTCCAGGAAGTATTTGCTCAGTAGCCCAGTACTGGGTACTTGGCAAAATAAATATTCCTGCTTCCGTGGCACGTACACATTGAAGTTACAGAGGAACAGTCACTAAATAATCACATAGATAATAATAATAAAGAATTACAGGATGCTTTGAAAAAACTTAAATGCAGGCCCTATTAATGTTTAGTATATAGGAAATACACAATATTAATTTCAGTTGAATGGCTACCCAAACCTATAAGCTGTCTTTCAAAGAAACTCGTTTTTTTTACTGAAACCTTACCTTTCAGATTTTACACACAATCCCAATTGCTAGCAGTTAGTAATTGCTATTTTGTGTGTCAGATATAGCGTTACATACTTTATGAGCATTTTTAATTTAATGCTTGCAAAAACCTTTAAAGTAAGTAAGGTTATTCTAATTGAAGAAGTTGAAGCTGAACAAGTTTAAATAATCTGTGCAATGGCACACATACAGCACCTGTCCAAACTCAGCTCTGTCTGAACCTACTTAAAATGCTCAACCACCATACTGCTGCCAATGACTTCTTAAAGTAATGAACTGAAAGTGATATTGCACATAAAGATGGATAGAAGATTTATGGAGAAAATTAAAATGAGTATTATATACTCAGTACCTGTTGCTATTTAAAACATAAGGCTTCTTGTTGAATGTTAAATCTCCAAATTTTACATTTTAAAAAGTGACTCAACCTTAGCATTTATTGAATATCATGTCTATGCCAAGCAGAAATAATTTAATGTCCTACCTCAGATCACAACATCCCTTCCCAATACAAATATATTTGCATATATATGCACATATATATTAAGATTATTTACCTTATAATCTTATAATCTTAATTATTAAGATTAAAGGCAGAGTTACAGGAAGAGAGAAATATGTATTTTTAATTTGCTACACATAGTCAGTGGGTAGTCATATTTTAAAGCTATTTCTTTTAATCTGAACATATATTTCTACCTTAACTCCTCTTGAAGCAAGCCACTAATGAATTATGAATTTGGGATTGGTAACCATCTCTCCCATCTGGTTGCTTAAGAATATAAGTTTAGGAATTAATTATACTTTTTTTCTCCCTGAAGACATGTTTTAGCGCTAGTTTTAAAATTGTGAGACATTGATAGAAATTATACAAAAACAAGAAATACTTTGACTATTTAACCATGCATGTAGTCACTGCCATTAATTCAGTAACTATTACTGAGTACCTATTAGTGCTAGTACTTGGCACTGTTATAAGGATTAGCAGTGCAAAAGATAAGAATGTCCTTGCCTTGCTTGTGTAGAACTTCCATTTTAGTTGTTCATAAAGGGGTCATTCAAAAAGGTAATGTAAAAATAGAATTAAAAGTATGAGCATCTTATTGTAAAAGTTATTTTCATAATACATGCAGAATGCCTAATATGAAAAAACAGTATATGGATTTCAAGACTATTGCACATCACAATAAAATATAATCCCCTTTTTCATGAACTTTTTCAAGTTCCCTCATGTATCCCCCCCCTTTTTTTTTTAAATTTATTTGACAAGTAGATATATAGATAGAGAGACAGAGAGAAAAGTCTTCCTTCGGTTGGTTCACCCCTGAAATGACTGCTACGGCCAGTGCTGCACCATTCTAAAGCCAGGAGCCAGGTGCTTCTTCCTGGTCTCCCATGCACATGCAGGAGCCTAAGCACCTGGGCCATCCTCTACTGCCCTCCTGGGCCACAGCAAAGAGCTGGACTGGAAGAGGAGCAATTGGGACTAGAATCCGGCGCCAATATGGGATGCTGGCGCTGCAGGCGGAGGATTAACCAAGTGAGCCATGGCGCTGGCCCCTCATATATCCCCTTGAATGTAGTTTTTACAAGAAGTGTAAATTGTCCTGATTTAAAACATGCATTCAACCAGGCAGTTTATTTTTAGTGCTTAGTTTATTGATAGACTCAGAAGCTTGGAAATACATTTAATAACTATATGTTCTCAAAGAATGGATATTCTTTGCAGAGATGAAACTTGCCTTCCTAAAAATGTTTGCTCATATACACTGAAATATTTTAAATAGTTGTTTGTCATGTGATTGACTGCCAAAATGTCACTATGATTGTGCTATGACAGATATGTTAGAGATCCGTGTATAGTGAATGTACCAGAGAAGATAAAAAACTAGAGAATAGAGGTTATTTTAAATGGCATTTTTTTCATTCAGGATTGATCATAGCGCTACACCCAAACTTTTGGTAAATGAAGTTGGCTTAATTAGACTGAGAAAATAAATGTTCAGGTAGGGAAAATA